TTGTGAAGTCAATAAGAGATAAAATTAAATTGGAATTAGGTGAACAACATTTTAGTTTGCAGATTGATAGTACACAAGATGTTAGTGTTGTAGATCAGGCAGCAGTGTGCATCCGGTATATTTATGAAGGAGAAGTAAAAGAAAGGCTATTTGCCTTATTAAAAGTGGTAGATTCTTCTGGAAATGGCTATTATAATATGTTAAAACAACTTTTTTCTGAACATTCGATTAAGTTCAACAATATCATTGGTGAATCATTTGATGGAGCAGCAAACATGAGAGGGGAGTACTCTGGTCTACAATCCAAAATTAAAAACCAAGAAAACCCAAAAGCCATTTATATATGGTGTTACAGTCATGTACTCAATTTATGCATATGTGATACTTGTAAAAGTTTGGAAGCTAAGAATTTATTTGGATTTTTGAATCGATTATCAACATTTTTTAGTGAATCATATAAACGTATGCTTGTTTGGTTACAAGAAATTAATTCAAGTTTGGGTTCAAATAAATTAAAAAAACTTCAAAAAATATGGGAAAATAATACACGATGGTGGTCTCGAGAAAAAGCGTTGTATTGGATATTTGATGGAGATTATTGTCTTTTTCCAATAATTATTTGTGCTCTATATCATATTTCCATTTCTAGTAACTTTGAACCTAAAGTTTGTTTTGAAGCATCTTCTTTATTACATAATTTATGTAACTTTAAAATAATTCTTACGGCTCATATATTTATGAATATCTTTAAAATTGTTGGACCAACTTCTCGTTACCTTCAGACAAAAGGTATGGATTTATTATCAGCCTGGGGTATGATAGATTCTATAAAACAAGAAATTGGACGGCTAAGTTTTGACTGTATTTTAAACAAATCTATAAATTTTTCGAATAATATGAATGATTTACTTAGTAGTATGAATCTTCCTGATGATATATTAGTTTCAAGTACGTTTCCTGTTACAAGGAAAAGCAGAAAAAAGAGAATGTATGATGAAATATGCGAAGATGAATCACCAGAATTACCACTAGACAAGTTTAGAGTAGATACATATCAAACAATAATTGACCAGATAACTATAAGTTTAAATGAACGTTTTACTGACAACAATAAATTGATAGCAGATGTTCAGTACTTATTACCTAAAAATTTTAAACTAATTGAACAAATGCCAAATACTGCATTAAAACATTTGGCAAATTTAGCAAATTTAGAACACATACAACTTTGTTTAGAACTTAAAAACTTTTCTAAAGTTTATCCAAAGATAAACATGTCTACAATAGAGAAAACTAAACAAATATACCATCAGCTTGATACTGAATCAGATGAAAATACAGATGACAATGAAGAGAATATGTATGAGAATACAGCATTTCCTTGTAAGTAAAATTATACTACCGATTTACTTACATAAGTGTAATTTAAAATGTTTTGTTTGAATATTATATAATATGATTTCAGG